ACGATATCCCAATCGATCCGCGCCCTTTAAGTCAGTTTAGAAAGTGTAAATCCCTCAGTGGTAGGCCCATTAGACTGGCCATTCCATCGATAACTTATCGATAATCGAGCCGCCCGCTTAGGGTTGCCAGGTGTCCGGCTTTAGCCGGACATGTTTGGCTTTTTACTTGGTCTTGTCCGGCCAAATATTGACTTGTACGGCCTGTCCGGCTTTTGTCAGGCTTTTTATTTGGCTGTCGCGCCAGCCGAAAGTCGAGCCACAGAATAATATGAAGCGCACCGATATGATAGTACTCACTCGTGAGCTATGACACAAATACCACCCCCCCCCGCCCCCTCCGGTCACATGTCCGGCTTTTAGGGTACAATGTCCGGTCAAATCAAGCACAGAGTCCGGCTTTTGTGTTTTTGGACCTGGCAACCCTGCGCCCGCTTATTGTTTATCGACTTCGCCCTAGAGTGCATGCACACCTTCCGATTAATCGGATAGTCGGAACTGGATCTGATAAATCGGGAAGTCGGAGCACTTTGCGCGGAAAAAACAATATGCACCGTGTTTTGTTGTTTGTGGGTTTTTGTTTATGTGTTCGATTGCACAATGTTGGACTTTAAGGTTGAGTTGCATCATCTAACTTTGATCGTACGTAACTATAACGATAACCGGGGTTTTTTGTATGGAGTTTGACAGATTTTTGGCGTTTGACAAAGTTAAAGTAAGATAGTGCAACCCAGCACTTATTTTTTCCTAATAACTTTTAAGTTAAAGGAAAATGATACTAAGGTACTTGATACAAATAAGGNGTTTTAACCTATCGTCATCCATCATTATATCTATCATCTTAGTATGTATTTATTTGTTATATTATTTTATATATTATTTATGTATGTGTATATGTAGCTTATTTGTTTTGCCGTCGCTTTGTTTTTTTAATATTTTTTTTTTTTGTTATACCGCCAAACTAATTTTTCTGCATAACCCAAAGGTAAACTGGATGAGAATGCCTTATGGCATTAAGTTCGCCTAGTGTTAATATTTTTGGCATTGAAGTATAAATAAATAAATAAATAAATAAACTCCTACACAATCTTTATGATACCACCAAAAGCAGTCCTTTATGGTCGCATATCTGCTACTTTGTCTTCGAGACAGGCATGATTATACCAGCTTTAATTCTCCTATCCTTTAGAATTATACATACGGCTTTTTTTTCTTAGTTTTTATTGGTTTTGTATTTTGTTTCATTTTTTTACAGGTTTAGTAATTTTTTTTTACTCTGTTTTCTTTTTATTTTCTGTGCTGTTAGTAACATTCTTATTAAATAAATATTTAGTTACTCTTTGACTCGTTTAGTTTAATGAATTTGTCCGTAATCAGGTGTTGATATAAGTATCCAATATGGCCTACCATGCTGAAATAAGGCCTAGGCCTTATTAGATATCTCGCTCTTGTTGTCTTTAAACATTTACAAATAATGCATCTATAGCCAGTAGTACAAATTAAGGTAATTATTAGCTAGTAAGAAACATTTAGAAACGATTACTAAGAAAAACTTAATCTAAAACAGCGTTATTTTACCGAAAATTTAAGATGAAATCGCCAGATTTTTATAAGAGAGCACGAAATCACCCACCACCTTAGAAAAACGCGTGCCAATTGGTGCTGGGATCGTGGATCGGGACGCTCTTGCACTCTACCGGGTTGTAGGGCATATAAGTACGTGTCCTTGAAGTATTATCCCGGTTGGATTTATTTATCTGTGTTTTCTGATGTATAGGCCTTATTAGAACGTAGGCCTTATTTGTATCAAGTACCTTACATTGTATCGTAAAATGCTCTCTAGATTTGTGAAGAATACAGGTTAACATTCTAAATTAGTACTTAAAGGTAGTATTATTGTTTACGAATTAAAATAATGAATAAGGCATTTATATTTCTATAAAAAGAAACAAGCAGCGTCTCTGCTTCTAATCCGCTGCGACATTCTTCTGATGGTTTTCATATCTAATCCATCGCTCAGTGTATACCTCACTTAAGTATCGATAGATAGTATCGATTAATTACTCGAGCGATTGTCCCATAAGTGCTGCACTGACGGTGTCGCACCGCGCTGTGGGGGACTAAGGTAACACCGCCTGTTCGTGTCCTCCACCCATTTGGGTCCAAAGGACAGATTCCTCTTTTTAATATCTAATTATGGATTTCCGTAAAGTAACGCCTGATACTATTAATTATATCCTCTTTTAATATCTTTAATCTGTGTTAAATTATAAGCTGTATGTTTCTCAAATAAAAAAAGAAAAAAAATAATTAATACAGCTGGAAATAACAAAACTGACACACTCACAAAGCCAAAAGTTTTCTGTGAATATCAAGAAGTATTTTCCACAATTTTTAAGAAGTGATCCTTGTCGTTTGGATGCTATTAGGTAGGTGGACGCAAACAGGTGCCACGACCCTAGTCTACGGATTTGCCTGGTCCTGTCCACTGCTAAAAAGGTCATTGTTGTTGGGATTAGTTACATTAGATCAATATCGACTACAACAGTTATGCAGCTGATATATTAGAGAAACTAAACTTTATGACGTGTTGTTAAAGAGGTATCGAACTGATCGCCGAAAGTTACAAGAGTACAAGACCCATTTCACACTGCCGTAAATTCTAACGCCCGTATTCACAAACGATGCTTGCTTAAGTGAAGCAGAAAACCGAACGCACAGCGTTGAATAGAGCTCTGTGATTGGTTCGTGTGCCACCCTGTGCGTTCACGCGCAGTGTGAGACCTCATAGTAGGTACTTAATGTTTGTAAATACGGGCGTAATCATAATACTATAAAAGAGACTTTACCTATTTTGCATTATAACAATCACAAAATAATGTTATGTTTAGACATAAATCGGCCATACATAAATCAATGACAATGTGATAGATAATTTTCGTGAACAACATTACACAATGCTCTAACACTTGTAAAATTACAATACATACATTCAATTATTTCCACAATAGTGCTATCAGTCTAAAAATATTGCCGTACATTTCGCCGTAGGACTTTTTTAACGATTTCCGATTACCGATTAGCATTGTCAAACACTTATTCGAGTGACAGAACGTCTAGCGATTACGTCGAGCGTTTTTGAGAGTTGAGCAAGACAACACTTGGGCAGATAGCATCGGGAGGCTGGGCTAAATTATCGATTGTTCGAATATCGGGCGATTTGATGTTAGGGCGGGTGCATGACATAAAAAATTATAATAAAAATAAACTTTTTTAAAAACAAGCTTTTATTCTGAATTTCGAAAGTTTGTATCGCGCATGGAATTTATTCCTCTTTTTCTCTGTTTGCGCTACAAGCTTTCGAAATTCAGAATAAAAGCTTGTTTTTAAAAAAGTTTATTTTTATTATAATTTTATTTTACACTTTTTAGTTATATCTTAATCTCAGGACCCTGGACGTTATCTAACACTAAAGTGCTCGAAAAGACAAATCCAACGAACCCAAACTCGATGAGTTTCCGCCGTTTTGTTTAGGAGTTCCTATGGCCACCTCCCGACTCCATCATCAGACCAGCTCAATGGTACCATAATATTGCATTGTCATCGGACTTACACATGTATGCAAAATTTCAGCTCAATAGGAAACCGGGAAGTGGGTCAATTTTAAGTTGCAAGATTTGACGACAGACACCAGACATGTGAAAGTAATAAAAAGCTTGTAAAAAGAACACGAATTTTTTGTTCTGCCGAGCTAGGATGCGCACCGTGATATACTTTATCGATGTCAAAATGTATGGGCAAAATCGACAAAATGGCGTGATAACCGCTTATCGCGACGCGCATCTTAGGTCTACTGGAGAAGGACTGAATCGATTAATTTAAAGAAATTGATTAGGTACTTACGGGTCTTTTTACACGTTAAGAAGTGACATAAAGAAAAAAAAAATGTAGTTTTTAGCAATGGTTTTGCCTTACTAAGTACGTTAACTTTGTCAACAAATCTTTTTTCATAAAACTCTAAAGGAATTTACATTCCTTCCTTTGCCTGTTTACGTTGTTGGTCATCATCATCAATAGTCTCCATTGCAGGAACATGACCCTCTCCAATTTACTGTAAGAAGAAAAAACAAGTGGAGGATTTGGCTTACACTCTCCTAACGCTAGCTTGTTAGGGAGAGGGGTTAAGCTCTTAACTCTGCCCTGAAATTTGGTCCCGGAGATAGTCTGAGTCCCGGAGATAGTCTAATGCCCGTTTTCACCATCAATCCCTAATTTTTAAGTGACCTCTTTGAAATCAAAGTCCAGTTATGTGTTACCATAGGAGTCACGTAAAAATTAGGGATTGGTGGTGAAAATGGGCATAAATCCCGAGAAATGACATAGGATCTTTTTAGCCCGGTTTTTGAAAGAGTGACGCGCGCCATTAAGTTTTTCTGTGGCATACAAAATTTTACGCGCGCAAAACAGCGAGCAAAGCCGCGGGCAAAAGCTAGTTTATCAAATAAGAATTTTTGCAGTGTGTACCCAGCCTTCAAGTCGGCATTTCTCATTGTAACAACGCTAGATTTCTTGTCGTCGGCACCGCTAACACATTACACACTCGCATCAACTGTTTTGTACAACATAATGCATGCGTAATCTATGGACAATACAGTTGATCTAACTGCTATGTGATCAGCTGGAATCTAGAATAGTCTATGAGAAATACCCGTATTAATATTACTTATAAGTAGAAAGTAACTCCGTCTGTTGGTCTCTGTCTGTCCTTTTCACGCTTAAATTTACTGGTCTAAGACCTAAGGAAAAACAAAAATAGTTTTTATCCCGGTTTTCAATATGGGGATACACACGTGTTAGCAATTTTGCAACTGTCTGAAATTATTCATCCGAGTGAAGCCACGGGCAAAGCTAAGTAGTTGGATAAATAAAGAAACACGGGGCCTAGAAGGTCACAGGAAACAACGAAAGGAATTTTTTACTAATGACATGTTTTTCTTTTGCAGTTTTCAAAAGATTTGACATCAACCAACACTCGTCGACGCCACCAAATATCGGATTTTCTAAAGTGAGTACAAATTTTGTAATTAAATAGTTTTGATTCTACTTACTATAATTTTATACAAGCGAAGGGTCGTGGGTTCGATTCCCACATTAGGCGATTAGAATATTTCAAGTTATTTTTTTTTTCATCTAGTTATTCGATTATAATGCACTGTACCCTCGCAAAATTACGGCGGATCCAATCGCCTCAGCATAATGTTTTAGACCAATGAAAGTTACCAACTTAAAAACTAATGGTTTCTCTCCAAAAATTTAATTAATGCAACGTCATAATTATTTTAATTTACAATTAACAAATAGAAGAGTTATAATGAACGCATACTGTTTTGAAAAATCGCTCCCAAGTTATGATTAAATACCCCAGGATTGGAGATAATAAGAGGGTTCTTCTAACCACACCCCCTTAAATATAACCCACACTAACCACCAGAATTAGTGAATGTATCTATCTCTTTTGCACCAACTAAATTAATTGTAAAAACACGGTTTTATTTTAAGAGCGTGAGAATTGTTTATAAACAGGAATCATATTTTCACTGAAAGTTTTTGAGTGAAACCTTATAACTATTCATTTTTTATGAACACTGAAAGTTGTGTAGTCTTTAATGACAAAATTATATCCCCCTTTCTTTGACGTTGCTAAAAATATTGCCAGTAGCGATTAAAAAAACTTTTTTTTACGATAGAACAGACCGCGAATTCCATATTACAGCTTACTTGAATGCTAGAAATTCTTGAAATAAAGCCTCATGATTAGCAGTAATGTTTTACTTTCTCAAATGAGCTCTTAATTGATTAAGTAATATTAATTTCATTGCTAAAAAATATTAATTAATTACTTTTCACAACACTATCCTTAGCGCCCATAAACATTATTGTTTAACCCTTTCGGAAAACACAGAACGGTGTTTTATGTGACAAGCGCGGCATCGCTCGCTTGGTGTTGCCAGTTTATAAACAAGTATTAACTTATTTACTGGCATTTAAGTAATGAGACGTCCATTTGTAGATAATTGTTTTATTGGTGAGAATTGAACCTTCGGTTTGTTGTCGCGTAATTTAGAGTTATTGGGGTCGGGTTATCGTGGTCATTCTGAAGGGAAGATTTATTGTATTGTAACCTAATTTGTAATAGTTATTCTAAGTTAAGCGTAGAAAACTATGATTTTCAAGTTGTTCTGCTTCTAAAATTATTTTTTGGGATAATGACATTTTGGTAGTACAAAATTACTGCTGTGAGTCGCTTAATTTGTGATTAATTTTCAGATTTCAAGAGATAAAATTTATCACTCTGTTAGGTAGACGTAAATTTTGACGTATAGACGAATAAGTCTGTGAAATCACCACTAAATTAAAACTTATTTTGTATTTAAATCTGAGCTTTAACCTCTTACTAATAAAAAGCTAAACGCGCGTTGTACACTAGTTTAAAGTGTCGTCAAGTATGGAAATGACATTTTAAATTACTGTTCAACGCATGTGTAATTTTTATTAGTAACCCCTTACTTACTTACCCCCGTAAATGGATTATTTAACTGGCAACACTAATAAGGCGTTCGATCTAATTTATTCGCATCATAACTTAGGCGTTCGCGCAACACAATCAAGAACACCTACTCGAACTAATAAAACATGGCGGTCATGTCTTTAGGTTAATTCTACGCATTCAAGCTTATAATAAGGTACCTTTCATAGTGCTAATTAAGTCCTGTTTAGAGAGACAATTGCGTAACTATGTTTTATTAATTTACGAACTTTTGAAACAATCACGTAGGACGATCTCAGAAATTCCACTAAAAATTATAAGAGACTATATTTGAGACGCCCCGCATCATTTTAAATGAATCATTATCATATTGAACCAATAAATATGGTTTAAGAAAAGGTAAAAAACAAATTGTAGGTTAAAGTTTAAACAGTTTTAAAGAATCGTAATTAAAAAAGGCAAAACTCTACTTTTACTATTCTTACGCCCGTATTCACAAACATTACTTGCTCAAGTGAAGCAGCAAATCGAACGCACTGCGTTGAATAGAGCTATATGATTGGTTTGTTTGTCACCCGGTGCGTCCACACGCACTGTTACTGTGTAGTAATGTTTCTCAATACGGGCGCACGAGTCATTCTTTGTTTTCTGAGCTTTTATGAACTGAATCATAATATTTTAATGTACATAATTAAAACAGTTTCTCTTTTTGTACAGGCTCTCAACGGATTCCTAATGATGATGACGCAAAACGGCAAACTTCTCTACATTTCCGACAACGCAGCGGAGTACCTCGGTCATTCCATGGTAAGTCAACGATCATCAATGACACCATTCTTGTAGAAATTATTTCAGTATTTCAGGTCTTGCAATAAGATTTACTCGTTAACTAAACTAGGAAATGAGAAAGTTCAACTGCCTAGGATGATATGTCTCCTGTTCGCATCCAAATAATAGATAAATTTTTAAAAACAGTAGAAAATAGGATGGTATCATTCATTATGGCACCATCCAGTTATACATAAATGGCTTCCAGTTTTGTTAGGCTGAGTTGCACCACGTCACTTTGACCGTAACTATAACGATAACCGGTGATTTTTGTATGGAGTTTGACAGGTTTTTGGCGTTTGTCAAAGTTAAAGTAAGATGGTGCAACCCAGCCTTAGTGTGTCGGTCAAAATGGTAACTTTACACTTTTCTTTTAAAAAAGAGAAATTTGAATTTGAACTGTCTCCATAGTCCATATAAGCGTTTCAATATTTTTAAGTAGGTAACCTACGCTAAATCAGTTGATGGGACATTTGGGATAACTGTAAACCATTTTTCTAGCAGCCATTACTATTTTGCGTAACAAACGACACATTTTGTGTCGCCAAATATGTCAGTAAACCAAATACATACCTACACTGATACACCTATATCGTTCCACATTTTCTTGAAAGATATAATGGTATTACTGATATCATAGATAAACGACAGCGTTTCAAATCAAATCCATACAATTTTCCAATAGTAGGTAGGTACTCACATCTGTACTAGTAGTAGTATAGTGTACAAAAAAGTGTAGTATCACCCCGGTGGGCTGACCCCGAATAGTCGCTCGTTAGCTGCGCGAGCGCAGGCGAATTAATCACCGTGTTTTATTGTGCGCCGCCGCGAGATCTTGGCTACAGGCTGTTTTCTTAACTTTGATAAAACTTGAATTAACAAGTTTTACGAAAATCAACTGATTATTCACAATTGTTCGTGAATTGAAATATGTTTTTTTACATTTTTCCACTATGTGGTTAATGTAATCATTAACCACATAGAGTAGCAGTTTATTACACATTTATAAAGATGCGTTAGACTCTACATTTCTGTTACCTACGTCAGTGCGACAAACGTTACATCGAATTTTGTTTGTTCAAAAACCTTTCTGCGACGTTACTATACTGCGACGCCTTGTTATATTGATACCTTGTAACTGCGATGTTACGTTACATTGAAAAACTTTCAACAGGTAACCCAGTGGTTGGTTGGGTGGTCATATCGTGGTGGAAGTGACAATTCTCTGTGCTTCTGAGTGACAAAAATAAGATAGAGGAGAAAACAAGAGAAAGGGAGAGAGGTCTAACTTTCCAGGTCAACAGAATCTAAACGCATTTGATTGGAGTACATAAAATACTGATTCTAAAAGCTCTGATCATTTATCAAAATATGTAGTGCTTTTTTAAAGCCTATTTGCAGAAATAAATGAGTTTATGAGTTATGATAGTGTTCATAAACAGATAATACGAGAGTTCTTGTTCTTCTCTGGTAGAAACCATCCGTTCAGTGTTAGGTGAAACATTGTTTGTGGTATAGATCTAACTCCTACAAATGCCTTCCCTGCAGGCAACTGCCTTTTAATAGATACTTCGCCTATTTCCCTCAAATACGATACACATCTTGTCCTACTAAATCCTTAGATGCATATTGGTTCAGCCTTTCTTCAAAATATTTAACGCAAGAACAGCAGAGATAAGGTTACATTGTAAAAGCGGGCTGTATTCATAAACCAGTCTTGTTATTTTCACCTGGAATTATGAGTCCACTAAGGCCGAGACCTGAGTTGCACCACCTAACTTTAATGGTAACTATGACGATAACGGTGCTTTTTGTATGGAGTTTGACAGATTTCTGACGTTTGTCAAAGTTGAAGTAAGATGGTGCAACCCAGCCTAAGAGGGATTAGGAATTTCAGCGACGAAAGTCGAAGGTGTCGGAATGTCCGACTCGAGATCCAAGGAACGCTGGTTTACCTATAGAGATATAGAGAGATGCCAACTAATGCGCTGAGTTTGAAACTCGGTGTCGCATTAGAAATTGACAAAGTGTTAATTTACAAATTAGTAATCAAAATATGTGCTCATTACAACAAGTGTAATTTAAATAAATAATATTAAATTATCCACTGCGGTATCAGTACTCAACGTTCGAATAATCTTTAGTACTACGCAAGCAATGTAAACTGTTTACATTATGACATTTGCAGCAATGTGTTCTGTTTTTGGGCATATTGCTGCGACACCGGCCCCGCCCCTTTGTCACATCTCCCTTTAGTTTCTGTGATCTGTGTTGATACCCCACTGGACTTTTGTGATGAACCCACTACATATTTAGTACAAGGCGTTAACGGGACTAATAGTAATTTGTGCAATTTATAAAAAATACTAAAATTCTTTAAACAACAACCTGTACATACAATTTTGGCGTTGTGTCGGCCCGTGTGAACGCCGCTGCCACCGATGTAGCTAATGATACCAGTCAATATGTTCAAATTGTGATTAATAGCCGCATAGTGTTGGCACAATGCTCCGATCAAAACTGGACCAACTTGTAACCGCTTGATTTTGTTGTTCTTAATTCAATTATTAGATTTTTTTTGTTTTACTAAATAGTGTTTTGTTTTATTTTACTTTTAGAGTCAAATAAGATCTCTCACACTTTCTCTAGACGTAGATGTCGTAAGAAGCTGCTAAGGGACAAATATGCGAAGTCAAAACTTTCCAACCCGTCTGGTAAACCAAATCCTCTTTAGTTTGCAATTTGTTATAATTACACAGGGTTATATTTCTGTAATGAAGACTAAATGACATGTTGATGATGACGACTTTCTATCAAACTGGATCAAAAATGCCAACCAATTGTCGGTCATCATATCTTTAGACCAAATAGGTACGTCAATATTGGATAACGAACACCACGCTAAACGAACAGATTGAATTTATCGTCGATCGTCTGCGCGCGCCCTAATCTTGATCTTTTTCATAGGCCGGTATTAATAAATAACACTTTAGAATCGCAAGCATTAGTGATATAATGTTTGAGTGTCAGTTTTTGTGATGTAAGTTGAAAGTGGCTTATAAGTAGTTATTGTGTATGCCTATAAAGTACCTGAATAAATTTATTATTTACCTCTTTTACCGAGAGCGAATGTCAAGACTAGATAGTAATTTTGATTTGTGAAATCATCGATTTATTATCTTAAAAGTGTCCATTGCAAGTAAAATAAAAGCTCAACTACCTTGCCTTTAATGAAATGTGACAATAATTTTCTGAATGCGGTTAATTTTTAAGCTGCTTTTAATTAATGAATAACGGGAGGAGATAATTAATTTTTAGCTTTAACAAACGTCTGTTTGCAATTAATTAAACATGACTTAAATAAATATTACTTACCCCTTTCATTCTTCTAACAATGGAAAATGAACTGAGGTTTATGATTTAACATCACTTTCCATCAGGTGAGCCTGATGGAAAGTGATGTTAAAGTACAAAAAAGGAGTTTGCATCATGAATACGGGCTCAATCTTGATTCGGCCCGTTTCCAGCCAAACGCTCGGCTGACTTTGTTGTGATGGCCGAGTGGGCGGTTTGTCAGATGTCAAAGATAGCCGCACCAAATGTCAGGTTCGGGGCTTGGAGTGATAAACAATCGATTTGAGGACTATTACAAGTACCTACTTACTAGTTATAGACCCTTAGAGATAATGATTCGAGTTGACACGATTATTAAACTTTGTATTGAATCAGCTTCCATTGCTAGGATACCTGTACTTTTTTGATTTGATAGGATGTGGCGAAAAAATGTGTTAAAATTTCAATAATAGCCATAATAGCCACTTAATATTCTGTTTGAGATGGAAACCATAATAGGTGTGAAAATGCACACGTATCTATTTCTCTTTCTTTGGTATCGTAGTGCTTAAATGGATTAGCCTCACTTGATATTGTTTTTTTGTTTTTCTAAGTTGTTTTGATTATTTTATCTAGAGCGTTTTTATTTAACGTTAATACGATGGAAAATATTTATAATTTTCAACTTTTTGCATCTTACTGATTTTGTAAGACCCGTATTCTGAAACTACGCTCAAAACCCGGTTCAAACTCTAACCTGTCAATGCTTAATTTTAAAATTGCAGCATGCATTATATGAGAGGCTTTAACTAAATTTTCACCTTAGAATATCCGATGCAACCACAATTCTTAAACAACAAATAGATACTACAGTTTTCGATGAATATTTAAGTATTTATTACCGACATAAGATATAGTGCAAGTTGTATCATGAAAACACTCCCATAACATAGAAAGCATAATGTTACTAGCAACAGGCGATTCAGACCAGATACTTGCGGTCAGCTACAAAGTTGCTTTGAATAATGTATTTTTGGTTTAAGTTGAAGATAGGGATGTAGTACAGTCGATAGCACATCTGTACCTATTACAGCTACTTACATAAACTGCAAAGTTTTGGATAGATAGATTGAAAATTGAAATAAAATAAAGCCCGCAGAATTGTCAAGCTCGTAGAGCTGACTGCCTTTGGGGCAGAAAAGTTCTCGAGTGACGACCACGGGCCGGAAGAGGCATTTTTATCTCTAGTAGTATAACACTACTGGTTTCTTTGTATTTCTATGAAATAGCATCCGTTGCTGGCGATTCGTCGTCTGTTTCTGCTGTGCAGAGTCAACTACGTACGAGTACTTACAACTTTAGTCGCCTCTTACATTTCGACATATGGAGTGGTCCTATTCTAAGAGTAGTTCCAGCAGAGGCTGGAATCAAACAGCTAAATTTAACCAGAATACTCTAATCTGAAGCTAACCTTGTTGGTGTTTAAATAAATAAATTAAAAACATTTCCTCGTTTATTCGCATGAACTCAAGTGATCCTCAATCGAAAACCCAATCCATCACAAAGACAAACACGAATAGCTCAATTCCAGACATTTTTGTACCATCAGTCCATAACTCATCTATACCCCATTCCCACGATACCGT